CAGAGGTCCGCAAAATATTTGCGGTTAAATTATAGTATCTTTATTGCAACAGTACTTCTTTAAATACAGGATTTCTAGAATAATACAAAAGAATTCTAATCCCAAACACTGAAATCTATAAGTCAACTTTTCTTAAGCTTAACATTAATTAAGCCTATATTAAGTGAGGCCTATATTCGATAAAGTGATAAGTTAACACTGTAACTTGTGTACGTTTTTTGCTTTAGTTTAGTTAGGGCTAAACTTTACCATACTTAATACTATGAGTAATAGACTTATAATGTTATTCTACAATCTAGCCTTAGACCTAACGTATATTTACACCCGTCTTTTGTTTACATTCGTTGAAATAAAGAGCGCGCGCATTTTCAGGACAGACAAAAACTGAGTGTTATAATAACAGCTTTTTCCTTGTACATATGTAATTCTTTCTTCCAGAGAAGCCACTTATAATAATGTCCTGTTTTATACATTTATCTCCACTAGTTCAAACTTAACACTAGAAAAATAGGCGTTTGTCATTGTTTTCTGCGTGCAACGTTAAAAGTTTTCTCTAAAGACTTTATTACTTCACCACTTTTATTACCATAATTATAAGATGGGTTAATTTCCTAAACTGAAAATTTCGAACTAATTTAAGAGTACGACAACTAACGTCTGTTTGACTTTTCAGAATTTTTATTGAATATACTATAAATGTTTTATAACATATCTTTTTATATAAGTCAGCAATAAAACAGAGTGAAGCGAAGCATTACAATGAAGTTACATAATATAAACTCAAAATTCTTTCGTGTAATTAGTTAGGGCAAGCAACTTGAGAATTTGATATTTTCAACCTGAGCGACACTTTACATGTTTGTTGTTAAGCTCAAAGTGCAGAATGGGCTGTTTGTACTCTGCCCGTCGCACTTATCAAAACCCAATTTTAGCTTTATAAGTCTTCATACTTGCCACTACGCTTTATTTGACACAAGGGCTAATTAATGTTTAGGTCAGAATCCCCAAGTTCACGCACAGTCATCTCTAATTTAGAGTTGCTGACAAGAGAGAGAGAGTTTGGTTTGGTTGGAATTTTGCTCAAACTACTCAA